TTGAATTACACCAACATTTTTATTTTGCACACGTTAGACATCTATTTATTAGTTTGTTACTCCCAATGTAGGTAAGTTTTTACCGGAATGGAGAGGGGTAGTATGCACTTGATTATGTTAACAAACCAAAAATAATAATCCTAATTCTAATTTATTATCAACTTGTTACCTCTTAATTAAGAATAGTAAAATTTTCACTGCCTCGTGGGTATATAATTGAGGTGTTAGAAGAAGTAGATAAGTTGGAGCTGATCGAAAAAGTTTACCAGCGAAGGCCGCTCCAGGCTTCCATTTCTGAATTTGAGTTTTTATAGTTTATTAGTTGTTTGGATTGGATGTTATTTCAATCGATTGGAATAATAAGAGGAGTGATTTAAGAAGATGAAGTCAGTTTTTGTATAATAATGTATAGTATTGTATAATAGTGTATATGCTTGTATAAACACCTTGTAAAAAGTGGATCTTGGATCTAACTCAACCTCAAAAGCTAGCTTGTGAGGAGAGGATTGCCTAAGTCCATGTAAAGAGTCCACTCATCTCTTTAACTATCAATATAAGATGTTTTTCATTCTTCAACTACAATACTATACAATTTTTTGTACATATATATAACGTACTTGCCTTGTATAAAAGTGCAATTCTTGTTAAAAACTAGTACATTAGTTTGTTTGGTCAAACTTCTAAAATCAACTTATTTTGAGAAGTATTTTTTTCAAAAATACTTATTAGAAGTACTTTTGGTGAGAAACAGTTTATGTTTGGCTAATAAATTTTAAAAGAACTTTTGAACAACAATTAATATTTGACCAAACTTTTTAAAAGTGTATTTTTTCTAAAAGTGTTTTTAGGGAGAAACTACTTTTTCTAGCTTCTGAAAAATAACTTCTGCTATTCTCTAAAAACACTTATTTTCTCTTATAAGCTTCGTCAAACATCTCATTATTTTAAAATAAACATTTCTTAAAAAAAATAAGCATTTTTAACCTCTCAAAAGTTACACCAAACAGGCTACCTATCTCCGTTAAATAACTTCAAATTTTTGTAAACAATCTCCTTAAATTATTTCTAACAAATCTAACCAACACCCGCTCTAAATTTTTCATAAAATCAGAATCTAAATTTAAACTCATTTATTTAAGCTTGTCCAAAAATGGGGGTTGATTACATTTTAAAAAGAATTATTTTTCACCTCCCAAATGATTTGGTTTGTTGCACTAATATTTGAGTCACGTTTATTATACAGAGATTGGCTTAGAAGTTGAGCCTTTTTTTTTTATTTATAAAGAAAATGAATATAAATTTGGAGAACCTATTTGGAGTTGGATGTTGAATCTTATATGAGTTTACTTACGTGCAATTCCCTCAACAAAAAATTATGTTGTGTATTATATTGCCAACAACAACAACATATTTAGTGTGATTCTATAAGTGCGGTCTCTAAAGGATAGGATGTACTCAAATCCCGTTTCTATCTTTTTGAGGTAAAGAGGCTATTTTCAGTAAATCCTCGGCTAAAAAAAAAAATATGATGCATGATTGTAAGAAAAGAGACATCAAAATAGCAAGATACAAGATAAATGTAGCAGCAAATAGTAATACCTATCGAAGAACATATAAAAAACTACGTGATNCTGTTAGAGGTGGGGAGGAGACTAGCTCTCGCCCTCTCCCATACAAAATGCGACAACCCTCGACTGCCTACTAACCTTCTACCCTAATCTTCGATCTTCATATCTTTCTATCTAAGGTCATGTCATTAGTCAGCTAAAGTTGTGCCATTCCTATCTATTCACCTCTCCTCAGTTATTATTTAGCCTATCTCTACCTCTCCTAACTCCTACTATGACCAACCTCTTGCACTTCCATACTGGTGCATCCTTGCATCTCTTCTTCACATGCCCAAACCATCGATCTCAACTGTGCTTCCCTTATCTTATCCACCATTGATATCACTTCCACTTTTGTATTGTATAAATTCCTTCCTAATAATATCTTTTTGAATATGCTCACACATCCATCTGAGCACCCTCATCTCCACTACCTTCATCTTCTGGACTTGGGCATTCTTGATTGGGCAACATTCTGTATAACTTATCTTTAGATCTTGGCGACACATTCTTATCGCATAGTCCCTAGAGGCAAACCTCCATTTCACCCACTCCGCTCTAATACGATATGCAACATTATAATCAATCTCCAGGTCCCCTTAAATTATGAACCCAAGATACTTAAAACTTCCTCCCTTGGGTATGACTTGTTCCACTATCTTCACTTCCATCTCTACCTTATGTGTTATATCATTGAACTTGCACTTTAGGTACTTTGTTTTAGTCCTACTTAACATGAAACCTTTAGACTCTAGGGTTTTTCTTCAAACATCCATGTCACGTCCCACCTTGGGAGGCATGACTGGCACCTGATGCCCTACTAGGACCTGGACTGCTGGACTAACTGAGCCTAAGCACTTCTGGTGCTAGACTGGCTCTAACTCTGGATTCAAGAAAACGACGGGCTATATAACAGCTGTAAACACAGCCTCCGGCCGACAAGGCCTATAGCCACCTGTAAGGATATAAACAGATAACCAGAACAACCAACTACAAGGGATCCTATGCGAGCCAACAAGGCCACCATGCTGTCTACTTATATCTGAGAAATGAAATCGAGCACTACACTGATCTATGACCGACAAGGCCACCAACTAACAACTAAATAAGGCCCCACAGGGCCAATACAGCTAACCATAGGGAAAATATACAATTTGCAAACCTCTAGGAATAATAAGATGGTCGGGACAGGGCCCCGGCCTACCCATATTGTACAAACAAAAAGAAAGTACACCTTTATTTTCCAGGCTCCGGATGAAAGGAGCTGAAGGCTCTGTAACGCTGATTGGAACTACGAGGGATCTGATCCTCGTCTATGTGTACCTGCAGGCAAGTAACGCAGCGCCCCAAAACGGGCGTCAGTACCACTAGTACTGAGTATGCAAAGCAACAACTGAAAATAACTGAAAATAAATAATGAAACTGATAGTAACTGGAGCAATAAGACAGACAGACTGAAACTGACTGGAATAGTGGGTTCAGGACTAACCTTAACTATTCTGAAAAGAGTAGGAGTCGTACCTGGTAACGTGGCGTCCTACTGTCTA